TTTGTTATTATAATAGATGGGATATTGTGTACCTTTCTTTTTGCGGATCAAGACTGCACTTACCGCTACCTTGGATACGGCAAGATAGACGAGGAGTCATTCTCTAAGTTCGGGTTTTGAAAGTAGGGGTGGTGATGATAGGTATGCATTCAGTTCTCACAGATCCTGGACGCACTCGGGTGTCCATTCGAGTCTGTTGTCCTTTTTTGAGTACGCCAAAGAATTTATGACATCTATCCGACGACCGCGAGATGAATCTTGATAGGGCAGCGATTCGACCAATCAATCTTTGGACTTGCTTTTTGGTAGTTAAGAGTTTCGATATTCCCTCGATAGTTTTTATTTGGTCTGGGTTGACCTCTATCCCTCGTTGTGACACAAGAAAACCCAAGAATTTTCCCGAGGCTACACTAAACACGCATTTCTTTGGGTTCATCTTCATTCTGTACCGTCTTAGTATGTCGAAAGTTTCTTTCAAATGGTCGATGCAATCCTCTGCCTTTTCGGACTCGACCAACATGCCGTCTATATATACCTCCATGGTCTTACCAAGCTGGTCTTTGAATATATTTGTTACCACTCTTTGGTATGCAGCCCACGCATTCTTCAGCCCAAACAGCATGACCCTATAGTAATACGTTCCATGGTGGGTGATGAACGTGGTCTTATCCTGGTCTTCTTCTTCCATCAGAATATGATTATAGCCTGATTAAGCATCCAAGAAACTTAATAGTTTGTGCCTGGCTGTTGTGTCGATGAGTTGGTCGATGTGGGGTAATGGGAATGAGTCCTTCCGACATGCTTTATTCAAATCTGTGAAATCCACTCACATCCGCCATTTCCAATTTTTCTTTTTGACTATCATCACGTTGGAGATCCACTTAGTATACTTCGACTCCCTGATGAAGCCGTTCTCTAACAGGTTTTCCACTTCTTCGCGAACTGCCTCGTTAATGGCGGAGTTGAATTTGCATTTGACCTGTCTCACTAGGGGGTGGAACGGGTCGATGTTTAATTTATGTATGATGATTTCCCTTGGGATGCCCGACATATCTGCATGGCTGAAGGCAAACAAATCTGCATTAGATATTAAGAATGGACTAAATTTACCTGGTTCCCGGAGTTTGCAGTCGATATACGCCTTTTTATTACGGTCGTTGAGGTCCAATTGGATGGGGTCGAGGTCTTCTATGATTGAATATGTAGCTTCAACCATTTTAGGATCCATGATGACATCCCCAGTCTCTTCTTGTATCGACCTCAACCCTGCTGATTGCTATGCCTCTTTTTCTTTGTCTTTTTTTTGGGTTGTCGTGCTGTCCAAGGCGATGCGGTAGCATTCCTGGGATGCGCGTTGTTCCCCGCGTATGCTGAATATTCCCCATGGTGTTGGGAATTTAATTACTTGGTATAGGTTGGAGGGGATATATCCATGGTCATCCCACTATGGCGTTGTATGCAATGTCCTGGTCCATGATGTGAAATGTCGTCTCCAGAGTCATGCAGCCGGCCAAGACGGGGAGTGTAATTTTCTCGTATGTACGCTCAACTGCATTATTAAAACCGGTTAGCGTGATGCAGCAAGACACTATCTTATCCTCGAGTGCCATTTAGGTAAGGACTCGGGGATGGATAATGCATGTCCCACTTCCATCGTCCACCATGATGCGTTTGACATCGGTATCTAAAATATATAAAGTAATAACGAGGGCATCATTATGAGGAAAAGTCAAACTGTCGGCATACGACTCGTCGATGTATGACCGTCCTGATGTATGGTTGGTGTCATTCCCTATTGGGTCGCGTAACCGAGTGATCTCTTCTGGTGTTGTCTCTTCGTTCTTTTCTGGATTCGGCTTGTACCGAGGTTAGTAGGTAAGTTGGTCCATTGAGGTCGTCCTCGTCTACTCAGACCTCGGCACAATAAGCATTATGGATTTCGTCCCAAGTGGTTGGAGGATACTTCATCAATCGGCTCACCAGTTTTCTAGTTGCTCTTGAACCATATCTACTCAGCCTGTTCTGGAAAGCTGCGACCGCCATCCCTTTGGATACGTTCGGCAGATTCATCCTTACTCTGTTGAAAAGGGCGAGGAAGTCCCTTAGTCCCTCCCCCAAGGACTGCTTAATAGTGAATATGTCGTTTACTCTTGCTTCGGCCTTATTGGCTCCGGCATGGGCGGTTATGAACTAATCAGCCATTTCCTCAAAAGTTTCTATGGAGTGGGCTAGTAGCTGTGAATACCATGTTAATGCCCCTCCCGTAAGGGTTTCGCCAAACTTCTTCAGCAAAATAGAGGTCACTTGTTCCTTGGCGAGGTTGTTGCCTTTCACGGCGGTGATGTAGTGAGTCACATGATCCTCAGGATCTGTCATTTCATCGTATATCCTGAGGTAGGGCGGCATTTTGAAGGTTTTGGTATGGCATGCGGGGATGCGACATCGTTGTACTGCTGCACTACGAACCTATCGGCGTCCATTTTTGGTAGCAACTTGGGAGGGCGATATCTTGTCAACTCGTTCTTGGTGTTCTTTCATCTGGTCTCAGAGTGCTTTGTTTTCATTCTCCATTTATTCCATCCTTTTTAGAACGGAAGCTAGGGCGATGTCACCCACACTATTAGTAATATTGTGAGTTATACCTGTCATTGCAGGGTTTGGTCTATTGCATTGCTCGTCTGTTTGTTGTGTCATGCAAACTCATGCGGTTTCTGCAATCATGCTTGGAGCAAGTTTGTTGAGGACGCTCGCTAGCGCGTCGATCAGCCATACTTCGAGAAGTTTTTTCACAGCTGGGGGCGTCCTTTCTTCTGTAGATGTGGAGGCCCCGTTTCCTCTGGGTTTTGTTATGCTGCAGTGTGGGGAAGGTGACCTTTCTCGCCTAGGGGACGTGTTGGGCGTCACGTCCTCACCTATTGTTTCATAGCTTTCGTTAATGACATTCATGAGGTTGGTTGGGAAGTCACTTATTATTTTTGTCCTTTGTCCTTGGTTACCTGCCATGTAGGGTTTTGTATGTACAAAGAAAGGAGATCTCGGGGTTTTTTGACGTTAGTGACTTGCGTTAATTGTAGATCTAGAGGAAACTAAAAATTTAACTAAGAAGTCCTCACAGTCTGCGCCAAATTGTTTGACCGAAAAATATTGATCTTGGTTCAACTAACTAAATTTATATAATGAGGGTTAATCTTAACAAACGATAATATCCTAAAGATGGAGTTCTCAAAAGTGTTATAAATACTACGTAGGTATGTTTTGATAGCAGCGGCAGCATAGAATCAATATTCAAGAAATCAAAGGCAATAATGTAGCATTAAATATTGATAAATAGCAATAAATGACATTTAAGTAAATAGAATGAATGAGTCACCCAAGAAAGGATGGAATCATTGAATGTTCTTTCTGGCAATGATGAGTGATGGACAACCCTTTGAATATCTGAGTTATTCTCGGATCTAGTGAAAAAGTGTAGACAAGAATTTTAGTAAAAATGTGATGTTTGTAGGCTTGCAATGAAATCTGATTCTCTTTCTAAAGTCAAAATGTATTTTTATAAATGAATATCACATATCCCCTATCATTGTGTATCTTTCTATTTATAGGGAACATGTTCCCAAAAACCCTAATAGTACAAATACAGAGAATATCCATTAGAATATTCTCGTTTATGTTCTATCTTGATACTAGCCATTATAACTCTGTCAAAGGTGCTCGACCTCGGCCTTGATGACATTTCCTCGACTTCAGTCTTACTGACTCTTCGACCACGACCTTTGCTGATAATTAAATTATTTTGACACGTAGTGCCCAAAAATGTTTTACTAATACCATTTCGACTAAAGATGATTTTTGATCCGTACGGTCACAAAATCTTAGGTCCGCCTCAGTTTATAACACGTTATTTTTCATGCTTCAATGGTTAAAAGGTGATGTAATAAGAATTCTACCCCTAAATCGCGGCAACCCATGCTAACCCCGCCCGTTATGCTCTACGTATTTTTCTGCTAAAGTTTATATTTCGTCAACCAATTACGTGATTGCTATCGTCTCAAACTCAAAATGGTTTAAAGGTGTCTTGTTTCCATCTCCGATTAGAATATGAAAGTTTGAATTTATGTCCAATTAGTAGACGAACTTCATATTTCCCTAAAGAGCAAAACATATTTCGTTGTTATAGAATTGCTGGTCAAGAGTAGAATGTTGAAGTAGAAAGTGGAGAATATTCATAATTTAAAGTTGGAAGGAACCTTCAATTTTATCGTAAATTAAAGTGGGAGGACAAAAATAATTTTCACCCATATATTAAATATTAATTAAAAGGTGGTAATTTCTTACATAGAATAATGATTAGACTTGGTAAAGGACAAAGAAAGAGATATTTCTCTCCGACTGCAACTCTGTAAGAACATTAATGTTATCACTAAATTTTCTCCTTGTCTTTGTTTTTGCCTAGGACAAAATAAACCTTTGGCTAATCAAACTCTTTAAGATTAATCCCTTTAATTTTAATAGAGTATAATAAGATAATCAAGTATATAAGGCCGATTATTTTAAACAATTTAATGGCCTAGAAAGAACGAAATATTTTGCTAAAATCTGGAAGGATGTACTAAATCATTATTTTTTTAATCAAAAAAGGAGAAAATCTAGGGATAGAAAATAAATAGGAATTAAAACAGTTTAACCAAAATCGCCTAATTTAGATTAATATTTAGTCACTTACCAACATTATTCCGATAAAAAAGATAATAATAAGATAGTAATTAATTTCTAAAAGAATACTAAGTACTTATCAGATAAGCATGGAACAGGTTATTTACCAACTTTATCCCGATAAAAAAGACAGTGTAATAAGATTGATTAATTAATCTTCTAAGAGAATACTAAGTACTATAATTATTCTTCTAAAAGAATACTAATTACTACAATAAGATAAGCATGGGACCCAACTCTATTATATATTTTCTTCTATAAATAGATTTGCTTTGCCACCACATACCTTCACATTCTACTCTAACCTCTCCATTGAGTTCACAATGATTAAAGCAATTAGTTCTCCATGGCTAATTATGCTGCTAATTGCAGCACTAAGTACTGTAATTACAGTTAAGTCTGATATTAATGATGTGTTGCCGGAAAAGTTGAGTTTTGACACCGGAGGTTTGAGCAGAGAAAGTTTTCCGAAGGGATTTATATTCGGAACTGCAACTTCTGCATACCAAGTTGAAGGTGCTGCTAGCACTGAAGGCCGTGGACCTAGTATTTGGGATACTTTCATTAAACGACCTGGTAAATATTCATTAATCTTGGATTATACCAGTTTTAATTATGTGATTTTGATTTTGTTGGTGTTTTGCTTTTACTAATAAATTTTGATGGAATAACAAAAACAGGAGTTGAACCAAACAATGCCAATGGAGAAGTCGCTGTTGACCAATATCATCGTTACAAGGTGAGTGTACTAAGTTCATATATGTTGCAACATATTGGGGTCTTAGGGTGTATAAGAATAATACTTAATAGGGTGCATTAATAATGCTGTGATTATTTATGCTGGTAATGGTTATGCTGGAATTATTTCTTTTGTATTAAAGGTTTTGAAAGGACAATTTTGTCGATATTATTACAATCCCATATTATGAGTATCTACTTTGGATGACCTGATAATGTGTAAAAAAATAAAATATTACATATAAGTTAAACTCTTCATAAAATCGGAATTACTGAATTCTATGTTACTGAATATAATATAAGACTGAAGTTCGAGTATAGAACATTAGACTATGCTGTTTGAATTTTTCCAGTAACGTGAAATTTGAATTTTCTCTTTCAAGCATATACGCGAAATTATTTGTCATTACTAATGACTTCAAAATATCATGTTATTTAGTTACAATATGTAATTGTAAGTGTATCCATATAACTAACTCTTCCGAATTGTTTTCCGCTTAATATTTCAACATAGAATTTTAATGTATAAGGTGATCCTTTAACTCTGCTATCCAGAATTAATCACTTTATGGTTTATGATGCCACTGTAATGGGTACAGGAGGATATTGATCTGTTGGCGAATCTGAATTTTGAAGCTTATCGCTTCTCAATTTCATGGTCCAGAATTTTCCCAAGTAATTTCACTATTCCTTTTCTATTTTATAGTCTATTCTCTAGCCATTTGCAATAATAAGTGAGAATTTAATCTTGTGTCTGAATTTAATGTAGATGGAACTGGTAAAGTAAACTGGAAAGGAGTTGCTTATTACAACAGGTTGATCGACTACATGCTCGAAAGAGGTAACTTTCTTTTCTCCCTTTTAATGCATAATCATAGATATTGTTGTCGTGGACTATACTGAACTTTAAACAAATTTTTTACAGGTATTACCCCATATGCTAATCTTAATCACTATGATTTACCACAAGCACTTCAAGATAGGTACAATGGATGGTTAAGCCGTGAAGTCGTGTAAGTATATCATCACTTAAATTCATGCAACTACCAACTATTTGATTCTTTATTTTTGGTAATGGTTTTACTGTTGGAATATTGCAGGAAAGATTATGCTGATTATGCAGAGTTTTGTTTTAAGACATTTGGAGACAGAGTGAAGAACTGGTTTTCGTTTAATGAGCCAAGAGTTGTTGCTGCTTTAGGGTATGATACTGGATTCTTTGCACCCGGAAGATGTTCTAAACCATTTGGCAACTGCACTGAAGGAGATTCGGCAACTGAGCCTTATATTGTTGCCCATAATCTCATCTTATGTCATGCTTCTGCAGCTAAGAGATATCGCGAAAAGTATCAAGTAGGATATCTTTTCCCCCTTTTTTGCCTTCCTTGCTTTTGAAATTGCAGATCACTCTATAACCTCATTTTCTAAATGTAATATATAACAGGAGAAACAGAAAGGAAAATTTGGCATTCTGTTGGATTTTGTGTGGTATGAACCTTTGACAAGAGGAAAAGCCGACAACTATGCTGCTCAAAGAGCAAGAGACTTTCATTTGGGATGGTAAGATTTTGCACCCATAGTAATGAATTGCAATTGCTAGATTAAGGGGAGATTCTTACCAGTAGTAGATACAGAATTTAGACATTGTCGTTTCTGAGTTGAGAGAGTGGGTTCTGACTAACTATAATCATACTTTGGGGTTGTTCTACAGGTTCTTGCATCCTCTTGTATATGGTGAGTACCCAAAAACCATGCAAAATATTTTGGGGAAGCGATTACCCAAGTTCACGAAAGAAGAGGTTAAGATGGTCAAGGGATCAATTGATTTATTGGGCATAAACCAGTACACTGCCTACTACATGTATGATCCTCATTACACGACGCCACAACCCTTGGGCTATCAGCAGGACTGGAATGTTGGATTTGCTTGTAAGAAACTACTGCTTTACCAGTTCTTAAGTTATGAATGAAACTACTTGTTTTAGTATGTAAGAGGTTCTACTGATTCTAATTCTTTCACTTGCTCTGATGTAGATGATCGCAAGGGAGTACCAATTGGTCCTAGGGTGAGTATATGATGAAGTTAACATTGCTTTTAGCCTAAAAGCATACTAATATATTAGCTAACACTATCTTTGTTGAATATGATTCTAGGCACACTCGGATTGGCTCTATATCGTGCCATGGGGTCTACATAAAGCTGTCAACTATGTAAAAGAACGCTATGGAAATCCTACCATGATTCTGGCAGAAAATGGTATGGTTTGTTTAACTTGTGAAACGTTTCTAAGCTGCATTTGACAAAAAGAATGTCGGTACTAATAGTGTATGATTTACAGGTATGGATTATGCGGGCAACATTACCCTTCCTAAAGCATTATATGACACCAAAAGGATTGCTTACTATAAGAGCTATTTGCAAGAACTAAAGAAGACTGTAGATGAAGGAGCTAATGTCATAGGCTATTTTGCGTGGTCATTGGTGGACAACTTTGAATGGAGATTGGGTTATACTTCCAGATTTGGCATTGTCTATGTTGATTTCAATACCCTCAAACGATACCCAAAGTTGTCCGCATTATGGTTCAAGAAGTTACTTAGGCGCCACAAGCATTAAGGCGGCTCTGCCCTTGTCTGTGTTTTTTTCCTCTCATTAAAAGTAGTTCAGTGTTTAGAATGTCTGTTTAGATTTTAGAGGACTTGAAACTCATAAGTTGGCGGCTTTATTAGGCACTAGGATTTCAAGTTGTGTTAGTTTAATACAAGAATGCTCTTTCTACAATATAGCTATGATGTTTGCAAGGGAATAAAAGAATGAATGATACAGCTTTAGTACTGCAATTCCTAATTCTTGACTTCTACTTATATAATTATATTCACAAGTCAGAACAAGTATTTTAAACTCTGTATCTAGTTCGAACCTTCTACTTAATAAGCACTAAGAATCAAACTTACATAATTATATTAGGGTTATGGTCTAGATAATGGAAGGTTAACCTAGACTAGACCTTTAAAAATAACTTAAATTATATCACAGTTTGCTTACCAGTGGAATGTTGGCAGAGGAATTGTTGTCTTTAATTGATGATAAAATTAAGAAATCTGCAAGATAATAGACTAAAAAAGAAAAGTGACCGATCAAAGTAAATTAATCAAGGCTGAAACTAATCCAATAAATTACACTCGAGAAAAGAAATTCAATATAGAGTTTTTCTTGTTTTCTGAACTTTGACAATTACTCCTCTTAACCTTCCTTTCATTGGTAACTTTTCTTAATTCAATTCTTTTAACCGGCTTAGATTCCACACTTTTTTGTGATTCTGGAGTAGTACATACAACTTCCAGGCTTTCAACCTCAGTCACTTCTGAGATTTGTTCAGTAACACTTTCCATTTCATCTGGCTCAATTTCCTCCACTTTTCTTTTCCTAAAAGGATTATTATCTGGAACTTTCAACACTTCTTTCTGCTGACTATTTTTCTCTTTTCCCACCATTTTCCTAGTTGATATTGAAGGGCATAGCAAGTTTTGAAGAGCTACTGCTTCCTCTATGCACTCCTTGTCGTCCATAAATGGACACTGCTTCTGTTCATCCGAGGCTTGCTTCATCTCCACCACTAAAAATGCCACAAAAACTGTCGTTAATAAAAATTTGGAGTATCATTATCACTTTGCCAACACATTTATGTACCCCTAAGTGCCATTTAAATGCACTAGAAAACAATTGTGGCATTAATGACAATCTGAATGCCATGCTTGCCTGTTGTTTCTTTTCTGGTTTTACTTGAAGAAATAGCAAGAAAACTGCCGTCTTTTGAAGCTTGAGCAGATGCCTTTTGTCGAGAGAAAGGACCACAAATTTTCTTGATGTTTGCAGTAGACACGTGATTTACCATACTTGGAAAGAGATTGAAGGCCTCCATTGTACAAGGATCTATGCTACCTTGAGCAACTGCAGTTGCCAATGATGGAAGAATTTCTCTATTGACTGTCAAGGATAAATAGTTCGCCATATTTTCCATTGCAAAAGCATCAGATACAGCAATTTAAAGTACTATTCTGCAAAAAGGTTAGAGAATGCTGAAGCTTCATTCATAACAGAAGGCAAGCTCCAAGTAAGAGGAGGACAAAGTTTGTCATACAACTCCAATAGGATGAAAACCACAAAGAAACTAAAGGATACGGTCCTAAGAAGTCAAGTTCTTCGTCCAGAAACTGCAACAGCTGTTCTGGGATAGGTTTCAAGTGCTTTGTCCGCTTCAAACTAACATCATATCTAATTAAACATAGAAGAAAAGTTATCATTCATGTAGAACAAAGGAAGAACTATATATAAAAGTTTTTCTGTCAGTTATTAGACTCACATTCTAGCATGATAGAAAACTGCAACTGCTTCTTTAAATGATTTTGTGTAATCTTCAGGCACTTGATCTCCCTTCTCAAACTTTAACATGGAAAGAACCTGTTAAACATTGGAAATGACTTTTAGTTATGACGCTCTAACGGTATAAACCTTCTCCCAAAAGAATTGCTAGAGGATTACAAATACTACATGAAAATAAAATTTTGAAGTTGGAAAGGAAAATGGTGTATATGTTTGTACTAAATATTGTATATGTTAACTTCTTTGCTTTACATCTCTGTAAAATTGATGATGTTGATTTTCTTGGTTTAGTTGGACATAAGGACAAAGCTATGTATAAGGGACAGCTTGCACCGATGGGCTCGGAGTGCTGAACAAAGGCATAGACATGCTAATCTCAACAATTGCTCTGGAGATGGAGGTACTGGTGGACCATTGATTAGCGAGGAGCAAACAAGTATACATCCTTTCTCAATATTGTTAGCTCTGAGGTGCTGCACTAAAAGTTTGAAGTAGAAGTATCTCTCAGGACATCTTAAGCTAAGAACAATAAGGGATGGTACAAATTCAACATTAGCCCATTTAACTTACAAAACCATATTAGACATCTTACTGCTAACACCCCTCCTCCCCAGAGAAAGGGAAGCTATGCCCTGCCAAAGTAATTATGTTGTTCCTCAATGCCTTGCTCTAGAAGGCTCTTGTGATTTCACCTTTTAACTGGGAAATGATTTATCTCTTCAATTAGTGTCCATACATATAGTATCAGGTAAAAGATCAGGTATCAGACTGGCTCAAAGCTGATATAAGCAATGCTAAACAAACTTCCTTGCTTTGAACGAATAGAGAATATGCTTACTCGATCTAAGTCACGATACTTGGAGACCAGATTATAAGCTTTTGTGATTCCTATACCAGGGACAGATGGAAGAAAATCACAGCCAGCTAAGACACACATGCCTGCAAATGATGAATAACGTAACTATTGTAAAACTTACAAAGAAGAAAGACAATCAAATGCTATTCAGAAAGCATTTCATTTTCAGCCGCTATTTTGCTTCTGTTGACTACACGAAAAAAGCAAGTCCATCACCATTATTAGCTGCAAGAGTAGTCTATGCTTGACTTTAAATGCTTTAGGTTTGGTTATCAATGCAAATGAGTTAAAAGCTAGAAATTGCTAGTAAACCTGTAAATAAATCTCTGTTCAAATGTCTGAAGGAAGGAACGTGAGTAGCAGAACTGAAAACATGGTCTAGTACCACTTCTTGACCATTGCCAAAGGAATCCATCTTAAAGAAAACCTGCTCAAAAGTACATAAAATTAACAGAGGTTGCTTAGCTTTTAATTAAGGGAATTGAGCTGTTAGGAGAGCAACAACCTCCATTAGGCCATATCAAGGTATTTGAGAATTTCTTACAGCGGGACAGCCATATGCTAGTAAGTCGCTATCCTCAGAAATTACTGCCACAATTCCACTCTTTTCTTCTTCTAGGCTAGCCAAGTAGGCCAATTGTGCATCAGCTTCATATGGTGCTACAACAAATTCTATATTCTCTGACTCCAGGATCTGCACATGTAGAAAAGCATAATTACAGCTAGGTTACTTGAAATCTTGAATTGGCAGATACATAAAATTGAAATCATGCCAAACTACTGGAAAATTTCAAGGAAATTGTATGTCAACGCGAATATCAAATCAAAAATTAAGAAAAGATAAACTTCTGAATGAAATGTCTTTTATGACTGAAAGTAGACAAGACAAAAGAGATGGTTATTGTGTACCTGAATGAGTTGATGTGCCATTGATGGAGTGATACTCACTGCCCTCTGCACATGAAGCATTAGAAATGAAAAAAAAAATCTAGTAGTATATTTTAATTTGCTATCTGACTGTATAGTGCATTAAACATCTAAAGATAAACAAAGAAGCATAGTTAAGTATTCTCAAATACCACAACCCTTCAGGCTTATTCAAATCAAACGAAGTAGTTATTCCAATTTGTGAGGGTTAATAAAGAAACTGCATTTATGATGATAGGCTATAATTACGTATTTTAGTTACACTCTAATTTACTGCACTTTAATTGAGTTTGAGCTTTAATCGCTAGTGTTTTGCACTAATTGTGTGTTTTATGCCGTGATTCCGAGCTATGTAGATGTTAGAGAATGAATTCAAGTGATTTGGAGCTTTGAAGTCTGAGTAAAAACCCAAGGAATTAAGCCGGGATCGTGTTCAGGGATCAAATTTGATAGTTAAGAACGAACGAAGAATCGAGTAGGTATATTGCGCACTGTCTAGTAAAATGCACATAACTTTTCGCTCAAAACTCCACTTGAGCTCCACAATATATGGTTGGAAAGCTAATTCAAAGGGCTACAACTTTCATGTTTTACGTTTTTCCAAATTCCAAACAGAACAGGGTGAAAAATGTGCGACAAGTGCGCAGCCGTGCACTGGCCGCGGATGTGAGGCAGAAACTGGCCAAAATCCGCGGTTGAATCCGCGGCCGCGGACGTCCTGACCTGGAAAAGTGTCCTTTTTCGCATAGGAGAAGGTATAATTATTTGGGCCCGACCCTACTTGGTATATATATATGGAAAAATGGTATTTTGAGTACTTTTGACATATTTTTGACACAATTTAGACCTGAGGCTAAGGAGACTGGGGATTCGACCTAAGGAGGCAAGAACACACTAGGAGCAAGGCGGAGAATTCTTCTACAAGTTTCTTACTTCCTTCTTCCTATTGCTATTATTGGTTATGAATTCTAGTATTGTAGTTATGCATACTATTATGAATAGCTAATTTGTTATCTAGGATTTTGATGGAACCTCTTGGAGGATGAATTCTTGTTATGTTTTAATATAATTTAACCCTTGAATTTGTCTATTTGTTCAACTACGTGCTTATTTCAGTTGATTGAATGGTCATCTATTGACTGTGCCTATTTATTATGTGTTGCTTGAGAAAGGATACATATTTAGGTGGTTGTTGAACAACGTCACTCCTAACGTATGTGAGAAATCAATACAGCGGGTTTAAAGATAGGTTTAGAAATAACAAAGCCTTGACGTGGTCATAATGAGCGATTAGATAAAGCCAGCTAGCGTAGTTCGAGAGAATATGTCTAGTAAATTGTTGTAGTTGCTCGAGAGAGAATTACGACACCTAAAGTGCTCACGATCAGTAGAGAATATATAGGCGAAATTGTAGGGAACATAGCGGGAAGGATTCCAATATTTGGGGAAATCATAATTCTAGACCTCCTAAATTTAGTCTCCAACCCTTAGTATCTTTAGTTGTTAATTTACTGCTTTAGTTTATTAGTTAATTAGTTAGATATAAGAATCTTAATCTTTATAACTTAGAAATTTATTCGAGCTTGTCTTCTTAGCGATATTGAACAATTATGGCGAAAACTTAGTTCTCTGTGGGATTCGACTCCGGACTCTTAGACCGGATTATATTTGCAGCGACCGC